TGCGGGCTTGGGGGGGGGGGGGGGTCAAGGGTTTAAGGATTAGGGCAGGCAGGAATAGGGGTACATTCCCCCCCCCCGGTACCGGAACCCCCCCGGAAAAAAAGGGGCCAGGGGCCCCCCCCCCCCTCCTCTACCTCTCCCAGAGGACGAGGAGGGTACAGTCCAAAAGTAAGCACAAGCCTACCGAAGGTTAATGTTGGTACGGCATTAAAAAAAAAGACTAAAGTCCCCCATTGGGCGGTGGAGGACTTAGAGTTAAGACACCCCAAAACTTTACGGCGTGAGATCCAAAATGGATCGGACGGTGGAGGGGGGGGGGGTGTTCGTTGCTTGAAGTGGATAAATAAAACATAGAGCCATCAAAGCAAAGTTTATTACTCACGTCGAGCAAGCTGAACGACCTGACCAACCACGCAAAAAATGCGGAGCTAGATGTGCGGCACGCACAGTACATTGTTTTCGATTGGAGAGAGGCGAGTACAAAGCAGTAAGGAGTTGTTGGCCAAACTTTCGGCAGATAGGTCTACTCGGGAGCGTAAGTGGGGTAGCAACCCATGGTGGAGCGCACATGAGAAGCTGGACGTTGGTGTACGCTCCATCCGGGCGTGTGAGTAGGATCTTAGGCTATGCAAGTCGTCCCTGAACTCATTGTGGTGAAAATGACCTCCCAGGAGGAAAGTAGCTTGACCGCGGGACTTGGGAGATGATAAATTGGGTACTGTAGTCGGGGGACGTCTGGGTGTTTACTAAGCAGAACGCCCGGCCCGGCACAAGACTGGGGTACTTGTGCCAGGAGGTGTGAATTTGGATCTAGACTACGAGCCCATGTTGAAGGCGCTATTTAGCGTCGGTGAGCCGGCAAGAGAACTGAAAGGAACCACAGCCCCCACCGGACACTGCGATTGGGAAGGCCGAGTATTCCGTATACCTTCCTGAAAAAACACGAAAAACGAGTGGCCACGGTCCAGTTGCCGTAGAGATCATGAGGATGGTGAAGAAGCCGGGAGGATGGAAGCAGAAACTGTGGAGGGGAGACAGGTTGGAGCTACTGCTGTTTGGGATTCCAAGGGACATGACGAGGATAGAGTTCAAGAACTGTTGTGACAGGGAGGGACTGCACTGCCTAGCAAGGGGAGAAGTAGGCAGAGAGCATGAACATTTCCGGGTGAAATTGACCAAGGGAGACAGCCAAGAGTGCTTGGTGGTTGACATCGAGAAGCTGTCGAACTACGTAAGGAAGTTTGGATGGAGGGTTTTGCATCGCGAACATGATAGAAACAGAGAAGGAAAAGGAGACAAGAGGCGAGGGCGATGGAGGCGAAGAAGGGACCCGGCGGGGGAGGCGAGCAGGCAAGTCAGAAGAACGCCGAGAAGAAGCGGAAGGCGAACGATAGAGTGCGCAAAATCTCCAATAGGGAAAAACACAGCTGCGAGTGGGGTAGTGGAACGTGTGTGGGTTCGCAAGGAGGGAGCGCAAGCGGTTGGAAATAGTGGAC